TTATTATAATTATTAAAACAACTTTCTGAATAAGTTAGACATAATCATACCTACCTATGTTCTGTTTATTTCAATTGTTTGTAAATCGTTTACGGTTAAAAAACGGTTATTAGAAGCATTTGCAAAAACAAATAATATATAGAATAATTTGTATTTAAATACAAATAATGAATAAAATATTTTCAATGAAAAGTAATTTAAATACAACTACAAATATTCTATGAGTATTTGAGTAGAGCATCCAAATACAAGTATGTCTAACGGATTTGAAAATATATCGTTTATCGTACTTATGGAGCTTCAACGAAAGGCATAACAAGAATTTTATCAACAGAAACACTTTAAAAGTAGCATTATAAAATAAATTTCTATCAAGCTCTATTGCAGTATCAGTGTGACAAGCAGAGATGCGGGAAATTGGCTTAATTTTCATTATATTTTCCTTAGTTACGGTAAGACAGTAATATTCTTTTGGAAATTTAAATCAATTATGAAGTTTTTTCGGTAGCATTTTACCTTTTTCTATATATTATTATTTAATTCATGAATGTAGTAGTAAGCAAAATTGAACATCATATTTACTTTCAAATATTCCGTCCGATTATTCCTGTTTCATTTTTGAAGCAAACAGAAATACGTTCTTTAAGTCAAACAAAATAACAACTTTTACCTTATTTTATGACCATCTGAACCCTCAGGCTTAAATATGTACGTATTCTTAACAGCAAAGATTCTAAGAATTTTACTACCATTAGAGATTTTTGTTACCATAACAAAGGAGAAAGTTGGAGCACTAGTGTTTACCAGTTAGTTAGTTTGTTTTAGTAGAGTTACTAAGCTGTTTTGCCGGGACAGTACCAACCAACCAATTATTTTACCGCTAAATTTGTCTTTTGTATATTGTATATATTTTATTCAATAAATAGTGATTATCTTTAATTAGACACATCACATTCGGAAATCATTGAAGTGACCCAATTTCCCATTAAGTTTACACTTTTAATAATTTACGAATGAAATTACTTACTTTTTGAGATATTTACAGGCTCACGTAACTAGGGATTGGTCTAATATTAAACCTGCTCCCGCAGTACCCGATTCGCTTGCATCCTCTGAAGAATTAAAGATCGTGGGAGGTAATGAAGCTGCACGAAACTCTTTACCATACCAAGTAAGCATTGAAAATAGTTGGAATGTTTGAAATTTGATCAAAATCTTGGGAGTTAATCGATATTGTATATAAAGGGTTTAATAGAAATAAGTGCCGAGCTTTGGAGGGTGTTAACTTAGATGCTATAAATTATCGCACAAAGAGTACAACAGAGTGGTTAAGGGCAATAAGAAACTCAAAATAGTTTAAGATCCGAAGCCGGTCCTGTACGTGAGTTGGCAATNTTTTTTCTTAAGAAGGAAGGCCAAAAACATTTTAAATAACAACGTACTGTAACTATAATCAAACCAAAAAGAATAAAATTCATTTCTAAAATATCTTTGCGGGCATTCACTCTCGTCGCATCGTCTGTAGTGTGCGTTAGAAACGGAAGTGTCATAACGGAAACAGAAGTGGAAACTGAAGTAAACAGTAAATTTTTGCGGAATTTTTTTTAATTTGGTTGTGCGTCCTTTCCGCGAATAGTTCGTTACAAATTTTGCATTTAGTACTTGCATCGTTAACATCAACAAAATAATCCCAAATGGAACTCCTTTTTTGCTTCAAAATTTCACATTAAACTTAAAATTTACACCACCGACGAAACACTATACAAAATAAATAAACGGTATGACTTATTAGGAGAACTGGCTGTGGAAAGCCGGAAGTCCTGGAAGTTTTTAAATCAAAATAGGAAACCAATAAGAGAAAAAAAATTGGAAAATGTCAATATACGAAATACTAGGAGATGGATTTAGACCCTAAACTATAATAAAGTTATTTGGACAGGGACATTTTAATTATTAACAAAATTTTGCCGGCTATAACGCTGCTTTGACACTAATACTTCATAATCATAAACGGTTGATAATACATTTACAATTCGTTCGATATTTTCCCAATTTTATTCTCTTATTAGTTTTCTACATCAATCTATAAACATCCAGGACTTAAAACTCCCCCTTAACCAATCCTTCTAATAACTTCATTTCGAAAATACTACTTCAGTTATGTTTATTTATGTTTGCTCAGTGGTGTAAATTTTGAGTTAAAAGTGCAATTTTGAAGTTAAAAAAGAAAGGGTCATTTGGGATTATTTTGTTGATATTAACGATGCAAGTGCAAATTTTTACAACTTGTTTTATTATTCGGATATATTGATTTACAAAAAGATGAGAAATAACATTTTTCTAAGTTCCGATAAGCTTCCGTTATAAAAATGAGGAACCAGATGCAGAAGCGGGTATAAAAATGTATGCGGAACTCCTGTAATAGCGAAAGCAGAAGCAGAGATCTGTTGCGACACTAATAATGGCTTTATATTAGCCAAATTTTAACATCCACCACATTAACCGTGGGTCTAATTACCGTGAACCGCTTTTAAATAACGAAAAATATCAGTAGGATTAACGTTTGCTTTAACCGCTTTAACACAGGGATTGTAAGTAAAAATAAGTAAAAACTAACTACGAATCTGTTAACGGTCTTCAGCGCAACATGTCAGTTTTCTGGAGGAAAATAGGAATAGAATTGTAGCTATCATAACTCACGACGTGACATACAGTTCGTTCGGTAGGTCCTTCTGTTTCTGTGTTGCGCGCCAGTATACAAAACTTTTTAGTAGAATTTCCTATTTGACTAATCGTATGTAAAAAATGAACTAGAATCTCTTTGATTGATTATTTATACATACATTGCAGTGAGTATTTATCAAGTCTACTTCAAGTACATAACTGTGAATTGCTTTAAAGTATGATCTTCGCCGTTAAAAATTCCGCCCTGCGGTTGATGCCTTTGTACACCCAGGTGAACGTGTAAGCGTTTCTTAAACTACAAGTACAGCCTCTCCTTTGATTTCTTATGCCAATTGCATTCAGGAAACTCAGGTGCATATAAATAACAATGTCAAGCGAACATCTGTTACAATTGTAGAACAATCTGGTTGCAATTGTTTAGTTGGTATGTCCATCAGGAAGGCCATTCTTTAAATAAAATATCTGTATCTAATAAATTTCGAAACTAACGTTTCCAGTTATAATTTTAGTTAAAAGGTTTTTCATATGAACAGTAGAAATTTAAACAAGATTAACCAAGATCTAACATTGTCTTTAGGCATCACAAACAAAGCACTTAATATCAAGCTATTACTAAGAAGTACAATAATAAACCAAAAAAGTTAATAAAACCTTAAAAGGAAAATCTGAAACCTAGCTAAAACTTAATGCTATTAAATGACAATGGATTAAAGCCTATTACTACGAAATATTAAATTTGTATTTAGTGCAACTTGAATGTAAATATAATCTCATTTTCTTCGAAAAAAAAAGTTTACAAATTGACAAGATTAATTGCCTTTTTAAAGATAACTAAACAAGGTCTAACAGCTAATCCCACGCTTTTTATTATATTGAAAGTTAAGATGATCTCGTAGACGACTGACTCATCGTAAACCTTTGACTATTAATCAAGTTGAAGGGTTTGGTCTAAAAAATAATAGTCAACTTTCACTTCACCTCACAAGAATATAAAGTTATTGTTCATATAATTGCTAGTAATCCTAATGTGTGTACTAAGAACATTTAAATTTAGCACTGATAGATAGGTAGTGAAAAATATTAAAATTAAGTTATTATTCTTATGTAAATTACAATTAGATTTGAATAAATGTTTCTTAGACAAAATGGTTCAATAACCAAAACAGAGCAGTTTTATTATGTGGAGCGTTTTACCAATTTTATGCCAAACATTGACAAATGAAAAATGAGTTAATTCCAAACATTTTTTCTTATTGTTATATTAACATGGGTCCGATTCGTTTTTGTTTAGAATTTATAAAATGTTTACGATCAAAATATTAATCAGACTTTATTGACAATTCTGTATGAATATAAATAAAAGTAAAACAAAAATACTGGTATGCAAGGGAAGAAAAAGAAAGTATGGAAAGAGCGAATATAAAGATAGGGGACGAAAAATTAGAAAAAGTGACCGATTTTAGGTATCTGGGAAGTCAGATAAGTTAGGCGGGAAGGAGTAGTAGGGATAGGTTAGTAGGATATCTTCTCAGGCATGAAGGTCTAGTCAAAGCCATACTAGAGGCATAAACGAGAGTTAGGAGGGGTAGACCTGGATTAGATTACTGTTCGCAAATAGTTAAGGATGTGGG